ACACACACACTTAAGCAGATACATTTTTTCCATCAAATTTAAGGCTGTTTTTGTCATGTTATGTGCTCTTTTTATTGATTTTCATGACTTACCTATGTTATTTGTATTTCCATTCATTTTATTAATTTTGATATTTCATTTATGGAAAAATGCCATAACAGTTTAATATAAAAATAAGATCATATAAATTTCATAAGATGATACTGGTACCCTTCTCAGTTGAAATTGAAAAATCAAATTAACTTCTCCACAGGTGTTTCACAAAAGTAAAGGCCTTAACAGCAGAGAACAATGCTTAACACAAATAACGCAACTTAATTGTATTCTGGTTGGTCTTCCATACTTTATAATTACAGCCTGATTATAAACACAAAATGACATTTACTGCGGGTCTTCTGATTAGTCAAAACGATACAATTTACATTAAAAAAAAAAAAAAAATCTATCTCATAAGGACATTTACGAAAGTAGATGTGGCTTTTTAAACTAATGTAAAAATAATTAAAGAAATAAATAATTGTATTAAAAATTCATTTTTCATCAAAAAAATTTTGGCTTTCAGAAAATATTGTCTATATCCATAAAAACAACTAAAATCAAATAAAATCATTTGAAATTAAATGTTTGTTTTATTGATCTTTGTATGTTACAATTCAGACCTGATTTTCGTGTGTGTGTGTGTGTGTGGGGGGGTATCCAATTAAAAAAAATGAGTTTGCATTCCGCAAAGCTTGTGCTTTTTAAATCACTAAACTATTCGATCGAATTTCTTGAGTTTTCATAAAATTAGCGGATGTAAAATATAAAAAATATTTCTGGCATGACTATTTTTGCAAGATTTTCCAAATTAAACGTGCTAAAAATTGTATATGTGAATTTATTAGTTCAGGTGATACAAAGAGAAGTTTAAAAAAAAAAAAAAAAAAAAATCAAAATTTAGAATGTTCTAAAAAGGAAAAATTTTTTTAAAAAATTAAAAACTTTGATCGTAATAATAACAAACAGACGATAAAATTTTGTTTTCGTCATGTTATTCTCTTTTTTAACGATCTCATGGAGTTACCTAAGTTTCAACGGTACAAAATGAATCTCGAAATTTCATAAAATTATACAAGTTGTTTAACAGATGTAAAAAAAAAATTCTAAAATAATATATAAAAATAAAAAAAATTCTAAAATAATTTCATGTGTAAGATTCATTAAAATCAGACAATTTGGTTTTGGTAAGAATTTCCCTACTCATCTTTAGCCCCCACCCGCCACTAACTGAAATAAAGTCTTCAGGGATTTCTTTCTAATAATTAAAATAAAATTCAGTCCAGGTATTAAAAAAAAAAAAAAAAAAAAGAATATATCGAAATGAGATGTGGGTGAAAGATTCGCCCCCACAATATTTCCAATGAGTTTTCTAATTAAAACCTAATTCAATATTCATTAAAAAGTGCTGAAATTTTCGTTTAAATCGGATAATTCCCTGATTTAGTTTTTTGGTCTCATTCCGGAAACAAAAGAGAAAGAAAGAAAGAAAAGGAAAGGAAACCACTTGGTGATATCTAGCCAAGTGTGACAAAATAAAAGATAATGGTTGTAGACTCTACAATGTAGAGGGTTAGTTTAATTGCAAGACGTAACAGAGGATATCAGACAGAATTTTAAAGAAAAGCTTTTAAAAGCTACACAGCTTTGAAGACCAAGAGTAATTGGATTACTAAAATTTAAAAAGTGATGCATAATAAGGTATTTCTATTTCATCATCCGCCAAAGGAAAAACATAAGCTAAGCACCTATATCAAAAGTTTAGAAGTGTGGGGCTTTCTTTCTACTAGATATGATAGAATGAAAGACAAAACTAAAAAGAAAAAACTGACATTTTAGTTAAGAACTATTTGTATAACACCGATTTATTTCAATCGAGTTTGAGTGGATTCATTTGGCTAAAAAGAACCAAAAGCTCAATGTTCTTTGACATGACACAAACTAATTTGATTTTCCAATCTAAAAAAAAAAAAAAAAAAAAAAATCAGTATTTGGCAAGAAAGAATTAAAAAGATATTGTTCAAGTTTATCAGTGCTGAATATGGGTTTTAAAAGATATGATTTAAAATTGAAGTTCTTTGTTTTGTACAATGAAAAGAAACAAGTAATGAAATTTTACGATCGATAACTAAAATTTGTAACGGCTTGTGTTTCATTTTTTACAGGACCCGCTGCAAGATTCAAATTGGAGAAAATGCAGTTGTCGAGATAAACCAAACAGGTTTCCTCCACAAAAGAGAGGAAGTAGAAGAGTAGATGCTTACTGAGTTTTCGGATATAGAAAGCTTAGAAAAGTGCCCCCCCCCGCCATTGTAGAAGACAAGTTGCCTTCTATCTAAGTACCGATGATAAAGACGTCCCTATCAAAATAGGAAATAAGTTTATGGAAGCCATTTCATAGACATATTCCGAAAAAGGTACCTTTTAAATTTAAACCAGGAGACAATGGATTCAAAAAGATTTTGGAAATATCAAAACTTTCTACAGCCACAAGAGGAAAATTTCGATTAAAAGTGGGGTGGGAGGGACATATTTTCCCCGTTAAAAAAAAAATAATTCAATTGTTTCCGGAGAGGGAGTCAATAACCTAGTGATAAATAAATAGCATAGGATCTTGAATCTTACTGCCACCTTACAGCGTGCCCTGCCCCAGTAAACGGAGACACTCTAACCCTGATATATTTAACGGGGGGGGGGGCTTGAATACAAGTTGAAACCATTACCTAACCATTGTAAAGTTTACATATTTACCCAAGCAAACATTGCGACGTAGAGAAACTAAATTTGAATGTGAAGAAAAAATTTTTTTAAAAATTCATGTAGAAAAAGAGATCAGATAAGCATGTTTTTTAACCTTTACCAAGTAACAACAGGTTTTTAACGGGCACAATAAGTGCAGGGGAAATGGAGGAAAAGCAAACAAAAAAGTAATGGAATTTTTTAATAATGAAAAACAAGTATTATTTAGTTAGTATACTATGTGAAATATAGAAACCGAACATTGCCAAAAAAATAAAACGTGGTAATGCAAAAAAGTAATAAAAGGAATGTTTTTACTTTTTTTTACAAGCTTTATCGCCCAACTGTCGTTTTCTTACTATGCCATAACCGCGAAGTGTTTTTTTTGTTTTTGTTTTTTTTTTTTATAAAAAAAATGCAATGATCTTCACATGTGTACTTTTGTTTTTAACGTATAGATACCATTTACATTCGGATTAAATATGCTCATTTTCATTAGGTTTTGAACATTATGCCCTCCAGACTTCTTCAGTTGTGTCAACATTCAAAGTATAAATACTTGCTAAGTGTACTACAATCAGCATGTAATCGAATATATTAGCAAGCAACAGTGATATTATTAATGCAAACATTTTTCTTAAACAGGTGGCAAAGTCTTCAGAGTGAAGCGAAAATTAAACAGGCTCACATCAGAAAAAGTAAAATCCAACTCAGACAGCTAACTTTCGTTAACTTTAAGAAGGCTTTTGTTTACGAATAAAATAATCAAAACAAGTAACTCCCAACGTTTTCTTTTTTTTTAAATTGTTAGCATTAAGCAAATATAAAAGTAGAAATCAAGGCATTCCAATTCAATTAATGGATAAATACCAAGATTAGAGGGGGGTACAAGTTAAATAACAATTGTGTACGGTGAGTTTAGTAAGTATTGATTTTTTAGAACAAGAGGAATCGATGTTATTAAATGAACAGGTCAATCTTTCAAAATTCCAACCTACTCCCTACAACACAGAAGAAAAGAAAAAAGGGAACAAGTAATAATTAGATAGGAAGAAAAAGTGTTAATACTGCTGCCGGCTCACTAACCGTAAAAACAGAATGCCTCAATCGAATGGACAGAAGCTTTCTACAACCGCGTGATTTTTATCAAATTTTTAAAAGCATTTATAACTCCGCTCGTCGTTAGATGAGAGAGAAGAAACGAAGAAGGCGTCATCAGCATGATGGCGGCATATTCACATAGTGCAACAGCAATACACGTGCCGCAAGTTGAAGAGGCGGGTTTAATATAAGTGGAAACGGTAATTAGGCGACTATGAAATAGATAAAGAAAAGTGAATTTTTTCTTCCCAATTTAAGGAATTTACCGACAAGTAAATCGAGTGGGGGAGGGATAAGAAAATACGTTCGATTAAAACGCGTTTTGCAATGAATGATTTTTCTTTACTTTATTAAATTTACTTTCTCGCGAATCGATCTTACAAACATAAGGCGTTTTTTTTCCTTTTCAAAACTAAAAGATGAAAACTCGTCCAAGCAAGTGTAACAGATACAGATTAAAAAAAAAAAAAAAAAAAAACTCACCCTCCCCAAATCAAGAAAAATAATTTCTCAAATTACTATATAATTTTTTTTGTTTTTGCTGTTTTGTTCATTAATTTTACTTTTATCTTTTAATAATCGGCAAACTTCTAGGAGACAATCAGGGAAAAAAAAGTGCTGTTGCTAAACCTAATCAAACGAAATGGCTGTACTTTTTTTTCTCTTCAAAGAATCAGTAAATATCTAAAGCTATAGTCCAGATATTTGGAAATTCTAAATCATGAGCATTTTCAGAGAAAAAAACTTTTGATTGAATATTACAGTATGCAGTCTTTTTAAAATGATACATTCAAGAAAATAAGCAGTAAATAAACAAGTTTGAGAAAACGGGATTAGAAAAATCGCCTATTTTGTGCGACTGAAGCAAAATATGGGGCTTCAAGTCGTGTGCAACGGATTCTAGAAAAATTCATAAAATTCTATTCAAACAAATTGTACAATAGTACTTAATATTCCTCGAATAAACAAGGACCAAAAATATCAAATTATCTTCTGTATAATGCGTAAAATACTAAATCAAACTACAGTTTCAATTTAGTAATTTCCATTAAAAAAAATAAAAACTAAGAAAAAGAGGCAAGACAAAACAATTTTAAATAATTTGGATGCAATCAGAAACTCACCTCATTCTCTTTATCACTCATGGCGATTCTAACAGTGAGGAACTTTAAAAAAATGTTCTAATGAAAATAAAGCAAGTAAGTCCAAATCTTTAGCCAATTCTTTTTTTTTTTTTTTTTTTTTTTTCTATGAGCAAGGAGCAGTACTGCTCTCAGCGACTTCTGTTCCAATATGGCGCTCGTGTCACTCCCTTGCCTTTTACCCAGCAACCTCTCTTGTACTCTCCTCCTACCATTTACTATCTTTCATGATTTCTTTTCACTGACGCTTCCTCTCCTGTGACCATAATAGTTTTCTTCTCTTTCCCCCCTCTCACGATACGTCTCAACATTCTATATCACTCTCACAAATAATTAGTTTTTCATTATACGCGTCTACAGTTTTATTTCCTTACAAACAAAAAATGTTCTTTCTTTGTCCCTGTTTTATTTTATTCTTCGGCTTTAGCCAATAATCTCCTTTGAGGTTACTTTTTCCAATACACCCTCTTTCATTTCTCTGAATTCAACTATTTTCGTACATACTTGGGGGGAAATTTTTTTACACGCCATGGCGTAAATTGCCGAATTTTGCCGAACACTCGACTTAATGAAAATGGAGAAACGAACGCGGTTGTTTTCTTTATTGATATAAAAAATGCTATAATTTCTGTACAATTAAATTTAAAATACAACTACATTTACCCAGTCGAATACATATTTTTATTTAAAAAAATCACTTCATATTTCAACGCTTTCAGAGGATTAAAAATAAAATTATAATTTATTCGCTTGTACATTAAAATTAAATTATTACGAAATAGAATTTAAAATTATTTTAATTTTAATTTAAAATAGACATTTTTATTTAACGTTACAATTTTTAGCATCAAGTGGAAGTATGTATAAAAAATATAACCAAAATATTACGGAATATTTCATAAGAAGAGTACTAGTACACTTATTGAAACCGTTAATGAAGAAGTTTAAGAAGGGCTTATTCAATTCAGAAATTAATTTTTACACCGTGTGTGTGCAATTACTTTAAAAAAAAATGGTTACGATAAATTAATTTTTCAACTAGTAAGTAAAATATTAAAATAATATTAGCAACCTTATTTAATATTCAAACAAAAAATATTTATTTGATAATGTTTTAAACAAATAATTACATTAATTCTGACAAGTTATTTTTTTATATATATTTTCCAACTATTTTTAAAAAATGCTCAGAAATAATAGAGATGTATATACAGAATGACTTCTTAAATCATAAATGAAATTAATTAAAACATAACTTTCCTCTTTTAGTCTAACACTTTACTTTACATTTTTAGCCCGTTATATTTTATATACCAATATGTCAATGTTTTTTAGCAGGAACTGGGCGAGCTATTCACTTGAAGCGGTAATATTCAAGTAACAGAGAACAGTGATAACCCTATAGACAAGTGAGGTATAAAAATTCTCTCTTCTTTTTTCTCTCAACATGCACACACGCATTTAGGTAGGTTAGGTAGATACAAATAAATGTAACTAAAGTTTCAGTTATTGGCCATAAAAAATGACCGAAAATTATTACCAACTTTTGTAATAAAAGGTTTTTTATAATGCTACGTGGATTTTTTTTTATTTCAAATATTTTTAATTGTAGCTACCTACAGTCAACGAAGAACTTTTTGTTTGACATAACTTAATTTTTTTTATGATAGATTTTTTTTTTTGTTATAATTAGTTTCACTATCATTTTCTTTTATATAATTTTGTTTCTTTTCAAATAATATTAATATTTTTAAAAAAAGACATGAAAATAATTTGTTTTCATTATGTTTCTTAATTCCTTGGGGAACATGGGGCCGCAATTTTCATGTTTTCTTTTTTTTTACTAATTTTCTGAAGGCAATAAAAATCATGATTTTTTTTTTTTTAACTATACATATGATAAAATATAAAAAATGGACAATATTACAAATCTTATGAGCTGACCAGCAATATGACTATAATTTTTCCAAGTACACTTCTCAGATAATGAATCCCTGCTGAAGACGCCTGATCAGGCATATTTGTGTTTCTTCACTATCCCCAAATACAACCTGTAGTTTACACTACAACTATTTCAAGCAGATCTTTGCCACAGTTTCTGAGAGAGAGAGAGCACATAATTTGGTATGATCAACAGTTTGAACAAGGCCAGTATACTCAAATCATCAGTCACAATGACTTGAAACTTCATGCTAACACAATCATTGAGGGCTTCTGAACAGTTTCATCTACCCAATTTCACTCTCAAGACTTGAGTTAACCTGAACTTTAGTTTTCAGGGATTGCGTATTTACTCCTCTACACATAGTAAATAAAAAAAATAATTATTAATCAACACAGTCATAGGTCAGCCATAGTTGAGATTATAGAGTCACTGTGAATTCAAGGATCTTGTCAATGGTTGCATAGTATGTGCTAAACCAGATATACAAATGGTTTTGAACTCAGAGTTGTCCTTCTGCAAGACTGGCTGCCGACCATGAGAGAGCCTAATTAACACTGCTATTTAACCCATAGCAGGATAGAAAAGAGATAGCTTCATAGCTTTCTCAATAGTATTTTCATGAAAGTGAATGTAATAAACTTGGTTCACTGATTTTTTGCTCTGAACTAAACCATGATATCACCTGTATATCAATCACACGCACACAGAAAATAAATTTACAACATCCTTACAGTCAATGCTAATATTGATTTGGATATAGCATATGTATGCTAGTGGACAATAAATAATATGACACAATTTTCAAAGCCTTGAAACATCTTCTGACATAGTAACATTTGTACTAGTGCATCATGTTTCAGAACTTGAGGTTTGGTTTGGTTTATGGCATATCAATCTCAATAGGTTATTTAATGCCAACAAAATTTTTATTGCTGGTAATAGTTTTTTCCTTCAAAAATCTATTTCTGGTAATATTTTTTTAAAAAGATATAAAGCCTGTAATATTTTTTTTTTCAAAAATGTATTTCTGGTAATATATTTTTTCAAAAATATATTGCTGGTATTAAAGCATTGCTGGTAATAATTTATTTCTTCAAAAATTTATTGCTGGTAATAATTTTTTACAAAGTATTTTGGGTATTAAAACCTATCATAGTGTTTTGACACCTTTTGGTGGGGGGGTAACTATTTACCCATAGCTGGGACCCTAACAAGTGCTACCACCCCAAGTCAGGATAGACCTGGGAACACCAGCAATTAAGAGGTGGTTCCACGCTCCTCAAAACCTCCTGATCAGAGGCCTTGCTGTTGGACATAGTTTATCATCTTACCTAGAATGCGGATATAGTTTATCATCATACCCAGGACGTCAGAACTTGAGATGGTCATGCATGGTGCTATAGTTTGGTGAAAGAGTTCAGTGCGAGCAGGTTTTAAGATATGAAAATGTTTCTGTGCTCCTTTTGTTCAACAAGAATCATTTAAGAAAAGTCAGACTCTAGGTCATTGATCAGCTGTATAGTTATTTAGGATTATTGCTTTATATATTGGTGTTGCTTTGACATTGTCAATAGTAATCAAATGAAAATTCTTACACTAATAGACCAGGTCCTGGATAGCTATACAGTGTAGATGCTCACCAAGATCCCCATATTGAAATGGCATCTGTAGCAGAGACCAGAGCAAATAAGGCCTTGGAAGTCAACACAATTTTACTTAAAAAAGAACAATGAGCACACAAGCCACTAACAAGACACACATTTTGTCACAATATCATCTGGCATGTCTACAATGGTATCACAAGAGGGTCCACTGGAGCATAAAATGAAGCTCTGTCATGTTCAATGATGAATCCTTGGTAACATGGTATTGTGTGTAATAAGTTACAACACTTGCTTACTTTTGGTGTTTATGGAGGGAAACTCAAACAGTACTATATACCTGCAGGATAATGTCCAGCCATATGATGCCCTCAATTATCGTTTGACAACTTCTCTGGCTAGCATAATTGCCAGACCTGTTCCCTATTGAATATATATGAAAGCCTGGTCTCTGGGTGTTAGAATGCTCATTTGGCCACTGTTACCAACATCAAAGCTTCACCAACACGTCATACCTAACATAGGCAGCAATCCTTCAAAATGACCATCACTCCAACCCATATCAAATTGTTTAAATTGAACAAAAGAAATGTTTAACATGACACCTGCCTCTACTGGATTCTTTCAACAAACAAAACTTTATTGCAAAATGTGTCACTATAAAAAGCTTGGACATAGACTGTGCACTTGTATGATTTTTACTATGTAACAAGTTATTGAAAGACTAAAAATTTAATCAGAGTATCTGCTACCTTCAAGTATGAACATACAGCACTCAGGTCAAAAATTGACATAATTCTTCAGGATGGTGCAATTTTATTTTCCTTTAGTGTATTTGTTTTTTCTTTTTACAGTCAGGCTCATCCTGTACAAGGCCCAGGAGCCACTCAAGATAGAAGGTTACAGTGTAAGTGGCACAGTTTATGTGGATAGGTGGGGAAGATAATAGTTAACCCTAGACTTGAACAGATTAAGTTTGTAGTGATCAGGGAAACATCCTCTTAAAAATCCAATCCACAGAGCAATGGTTTGTAGGAAGAAGCTGCTCAAGTGGAACTTATTTCTCACCAATGGAATATGGAGTGAATGAGGGTGGTTCGCTACAATGGGAATGGCATGGCAAATCCTAGTCATGAACCAAAGAATGCAGTTCAACTGAGCACTTTCCATGAAAGTAGCAATAGAGTGGTGAGAGGCTTGCCGAATCCTGTTTGTGTGATTGCAGTTGCATGGTGGAAGATAATTTGTCACCCACAAGGATGCAGAGACATTTTTGGGCTCTATCAAGAATGGAAAGTGAGGACTGGGTAGCTCTTGCCCAAATATGACAACAGTACTCCATTTGAGGTTTGATCTGGCTCTTGTAGAGTTAGAGGATAGCACAAGGGGTCAAGTACCTACTGGAGCAATACCAGGAACAGACTATTTTTCCTGCATCTTTAGTGATGGATCATATG